GTGCCACACTCTTCTTCATATAATCCACCTCTCAGATTATTTGCTCAGCATACAGACTGAATACACACAGACTGATTACTGTTAAAAGAATACAACCTTGGCACACACCTTTCCTTATCTTTTTTTCGTGTGTGTATCAATTGAGTAAAGGTTTACAGACAAGATCATCAGTTTCACATTCAACAAATCAAATACTTCGTTTCATCTCAATGATTGCAATTCCCTCCTTGCAACAACAGCTGCCCCGTTTCCTCTCTGTGGTGGTGGTGGTGGTTGTTATGCGCTGTGAAGTCAGTTCCGACTCATAGAGACCATCTACAGGGTTTCTGAGGTTGTAAATCTTTACAGGAAAGCCTCATCTTTCTCCCACGGAACAGCTGGTAGTTTCAAACTGCTAACCATGAGATTAGCAGCCCAAATCGTAACCATTAGGCAAAGTATAAATTTCTTTCAAACTCTTACATAAATATATTTATCCCACTCTTCCTCCCATATCCATTCAGCCTGTGTCTATGTCCATGTGTCTACAAAGAACACTCTTGTTCCAAGGTTGTATATACACCACTATTTACTTCTGTCCCCTTTAGCCCATGCATACCTCCCTGTGTCTTCACTTCCCTCTGCCAACCTCCGTCTTGCATATTGCCCCCCTTATCACCTGAGTTAACAAGTGTCTACCCTCTAGCCAGTCATTTACTTTCCCTTCACTCCCACCACTGATAATCATCAAAGAATGTTGCTTTAAGTATGAACACCTTTTCTTGAGTTTTTGCAATAATAGTTTCATACAATATTTGTCCTTTTGTGATTGACTTATTTCATTCAGCATAATGTCCTGCACATTCATCCATGTTATGAGGTATTTCACAGATTCATCATAATTCATCAATGTTGCATAATATTCTATAGTTTCCTGATTTTAAACCATTCAGGGTCCCCTTGTTTTGTTCAAACAACTGCCTCTTTGTCTATGTACAGATTCCTCATGAGCACAATTAAGTGTTCAGGAATACACATTCTTCACAGTGTTATCCACATAGTCGAAAGTCTTTGCATGGTCAGTAAAGCATAGGTAAGCGTCTTTCTGTTATTCTCTGCTTTTAGCCAAGATCCATCTGACATTAGTAATGCTATCCCTAGTCCCACATCCTCATCTGAATCTGGTTTGAACCTCTGGCAGTTCCTTGCCAATGTACGGTTGTGATCATTTAAAAATTATATTTAACAAAATTTTAATTGCATGTGATATTAATAATACTGTCTGATGATTTCCACATTCCTTTGGGTCACCTCTCTTTGGAATGGGCACAATCATTTGGCCAGATAGCTGTCTTTCAAATTGCTTGACATAAATGAGTGTGTGCCTCCAGTGCTGCATCAGTTGGTTGAAAGATTTCAACTTGTATTCCATCAAAGCCCAGAGCCTTGTTCTTTGCCAATGCCTTCAGTGCACCTTGGACTTCTTCCTTCAGTACCATTGACTCTTGATCATATGCTACCTCTTGAAATTGTTGAACATT